CCCCACCCCTCTCAGCTTGGCCCCCATCACTGGTGCCTGTAGCTGTTATCTCCAAAAGCGTCACTGCTGCTATCTAGGATGCTATGGCCTTTGCGTTGCTACCATTCAAAGTAAACCCTGTTTCAACTGGAGGTCCAGGGAGGGAGTGTTCTTTTCTAAAACAATAACTACTGTCAAACCACATACATTAGATAAAAGAGGGAGAGTCAGACTGTCTGATCAGAGAAATCTAATCCATATCCCTTGCAAGAAGATTGCATCCACTCAAACTCAAGTAAATCTCAAACACACTGTACTCAATGTAAGATCTTTAAGTAACAGATCATTTTTAATTAGTAGTTTTTTCTCCTTGATTTTTAACTGAGACGTGGCTCGACAAAAACATCAGTAATGCAGTTCTGATTAAGTGTAGTCCATTGCACTTTAATTTTGTGTCTGAAACGCGACAAAACCAGAGGGGCGGGGGCGTTTGTGCCATATTCAGGGACAATATACTCACCCACAAATTGTCATTTGGGGTTTTTTCAGAGTTTATGGAAAGGATTCGATTTGAAAACATCTTATGTTCTAATGTTGATGATCTGTTGAACTCTTATATATCCAGTGTTTTAAATGTTTTGGACACCGCTGCTCCTGTCAAGGTTAGAATGGTTAAACATAGGCAAAAGGCACCATGGAGAAATGACGACTCAGTCAGGGCACAGAAAAGGGAGTGCCAGAGAACAGAACGGAAATGGGGCAAGTCAAAATTCCAGGTTCATTATGAGATATACAAAGAGAAGTTATGTGTGTTCAACCAGACTCTGCGTAGAACAAGGGAGAGTTATTTTTCTGAAATCATCGCAAACTGCAGTAACAGCTATTGTGTCCTATTTGCTACAGTAAACAGATTAACAAACCCACCAGCTTTGCTGCCCTCAGAACTAATTTCTACATCTAAATGCAATGACTTTGCAATATTCTTTAATGACGAAGTCCAAAGCATTAAAAATGCAATAATTTCCACAACACAAATGGCAATTCTGCAGCCAGCTAGACACCTAGAGCTGAAACATTTTACACCCACTAGATACCCACTAGATTTCTAAAGTCTGTGCTGAGCAGTGTATTACCAGAACTCGCTCATTTAGTTAACATCTCACTTCAGACTGGAATATTTCAAACAGAGAATGCACTGTTTCTTTTTTCCTTGTAGGTGTTGTGTTTGACTCTGGAGACGGAGTGAGCCACAGTGTGCCAGTGTTCGAGGGATACTGTCTACCTCATGCAGTGCAGCGCTTCCCTCTGGGTGGTGTAGACGTAACAATGCACCTTAAAAAGGTATTCACTCCTTCTTTTGTCATTCACGCAGTTTATGGGCAGCTCTCCTAATAACATTGTCAGTTGGCAACTTGGATAAAGACTTGTGGTCAAGTCAAAGAGAAATCAGGTTTAAGGACAGCTCAGTTAGCTCAGCTGCTGCATAAATTGTATATCAGGATCTTAAATTTCAGATTGTTTTTGGAACCTTTTTCCATAGCGTGCTGGCAATTTTACATTTTAGGTTTATATCTGAGTAAAAAAAAAAAAAAAAAGCATCTCTTAAAAAGTACATCATGGCACGTACCTTGATTTACTGTGGTCTTGTCAACTTAAAAAAAAAAAAAAAAAGCTGCAGCACAACATTTAGAGCCAGCCAGTTGAAGGACACAACTATCAGCCTCACATTAGCATTAAGGCTTCAACTGTAATATACTGCATGTTTAATAATAATTTGTTAAATGATGCGTAAAGCCCTAGGTTGGTGTCCTCGTTACAAAGCTCTTGTGAGATGCAAGTGGACCTGTCTGTTCATGCTCTGTCCCTCTGTATGCTTTATGTGCTAAAATTCCCCTTTTGACTACTATTCATCTCTAAACTGATCACTTGCTGTGTCTGCAGCTTCTGCAAGAACAGGGGGTTTGCATGCGCACCTCAGCAGAGGAGGAGATTGTGAGGGAGATGAAGGAGAAGTGCTGCTGCGTGGCGCTCGACTATGACGCTGAGCTGAGTCGGGGGGGTTTGTCCTGCAGGGAGATGCATTACACCATGCCGGACGGACAGATCATCACCCTCACCACAGAGCGGTTCAGGTAACAGCCTGCACGTCATGTCCTGTTTGAGACGGACACCTAATCCACTGAATGGGGGTGTGGGGGGTCACAAAGGAATTTAATATTAACAATGGAAATTTGAGGATTTTATTGTGAGGTTTTGCCATGTTTTATTAACAAACCTCAGTGTGTGTATGAATGAAATATAAAGCATGCTAAATACAAAGATCTATAGCAAGTGTTTAAGCTCCAGGGACAAACCAATGAAATCTCATATTAGGAAATGAAGCACATTATAATCCTTTAGTGGTCATTGTTTGAATTTTAGTTCCTCTGAGATATCAAACGAGGAAGCTAACAGTTTTGTTGTACTTCGGGGTCATGAGGGTAAAAAGCAACATCACTGATAGGTCAAAAGGTCATGATTGCCTTTACTCAAAGAAATGCAAGCAAACGACTGCAGCAACCACTATAGTTAGCACCAGAATTAGTTGACTGAATGTATGTCAAAGTGAATGCACATGCAGTATATCCAGTAACCCACAAAATGTTTTAGTCAAGTTACTCTTCTATTATAAATTATGGTGTACAATTAGCGTAGCTTAGCATAAAGACGTGAAGCAAATTGGGTTGAAGCTCATGCTCAGTCTGTGCATTGCTTGTCTTTTGACTTGTTGAATAATGTTAGATACAAGTTTGAGGTTCAGGGCAGCAGAGATCTGTCCAGCAGGTGCTGCTCCAAGTCAGACTATTGAGACAAGCCAGGTGCCTCTTTCTAAACCAGACTCCTAAACTGAGTGCACCACTTCCCTCCCCTCCATTCATCCAGGGCCCCTGAGATTCTGTTTAAACCTGAACTGATTGGACGGGACCATTATGGGATGCACGAGAGCATCTTCAAGTCAATCCTCAGCTCAGACATTGACCTGCGGCGCGGCTTCCTGGGAAACATCGTACTGTCAGGTAACAGTTGTTTTCCGTTAAAGGTGTTGCACAACAGTCTGAGGGGCTCGGCAATGAACTCCAGCTGGGCCCGTAAATCAAAAGCACAACTCCGCATGCGTTTGATTTTTATTTGAGTTGGTCTTTTTCCAGTTAATCTGCTGCTCTGTGCTGAATGTCTTTTTGGATTTTTTTTCTTGCTGAAGGTGGAAACACTCTGCTACCCGGCCTGCCCGAACGGCTCCAGGCTGAAATCGTCGGCCTGCTGCCCGCAGACATGGCTGAGGCCGTTCGGGTCACCAGCCCCAAAGACAGAGACTTCTCAGTGTGGAGCGGAGGAGCAGTGCTGGCCAACCTGCCCACCTTCAGCTCTGCATGGATCAGTCAGGAAGAATATGAGGAGTATGGGCCGCAGATTGTCTTCAGGAAGTGTTTCTGAGGCGGACTAGTGCGAGTTACAAGTGCAATATTCAGTGCCATGGGTTGCTCTGAGCCATTGTGACCCCTTTTAAATATCTCTGTTTTTTTGTGTTGTTTTTTCTTGTGGAGTTTGTTTCACTCTGCTCAGCTGTGTGGATCTTAACTTTTGAGCTCTTACTTGACACCAGCAGGTTTTCTGTGAACCTGCTGCCTCCTATATGCTTAATCTGTGGAGATCCACCAACATGGCAAATGAGGAAACTTGCATTTCTGCCATAAAATTCTGTCATTATTATTATCCCTCAAGAACCCTCTAATTTTCTATTAAATTTCCCATTTTGGGAAAAATTTGTGTCCCCAAAATTAAAATTTATTCACGTTTGTCGTTAAGGGACTAGAATTGAAGCTGGCCTTTAATTGATGTCTGCCAACTTTGTTTCCAGAATAAGCAATTGAGGGACATGAAGAAAACTACTTGCTGACTCCAAATATCTATATAAAATCTATCCAAATATATATGAATCTAATATCAGATTTTGATGTAATTATGCAAACATTTTAAATAAATTTGGTATATCAGATTATTTTATGAGTTAGACATGGTGAAAGTTGCAACTACTAAAAACTTTTTTTATTCAACATTAAATGCTCTTGATGATGGTGAGTGTTAAGGCCTCTGCAATGAAGGAAATCTGACAACTCAAACAATATTTTTGAAAAGTGTCCTAATTATTATGTCTTTATATATATTGAGTGGACTTTTTTGTTGTAGCATAACTTCTAAAAAGAGTTTTGTAAGATGATGGCTTTTTTTCATCCCCTATTTTTGAAAAATCTCATAAATATATATTTTTCATTGCAGTGACTTTAATGTGCATGACATTAAACGGCTCCCAAATCAAAGCTACTTATCCATGTACATGGAGGTTTTCTGTTGCTGCAGTATTTTGACCCAGAAAGGAGAAAAGAGGGGATTTTTTACATGCGACCTTTGTGCTGATTTTTCCTGAGCTGACTTGGTTGGTAGAGGTTTGTAGAGTGCAGATGTTGGTCTGGTTATGATTTAAAATGCTCCTGCTGCAGGTACAGTGTTGGTCCATTGTTTGAAGTTGGAAGTCTCTTTATAATTTTCTGAGTGCTGTGTCATGCCACAAGTGTCTTTGGGTTTTTTTCTAAAGTATTTTGATGTGAAAACATTGGTTGTTAGGATCTGACATCAACTTGCACAGAAGTGCTTTTTTCTGTAAAAAGTGTTCCATTGATGCCAAATTGCTGCATTACTATGAATCTTGATAATCCTTGTGCCAATTCTGTGTATTTAGACTTGGTCTGCTTTGTTCTCCCCTCCATTGCATGAAACTATTTAGTTGTGTGGGATTTATTTGCACCCTTTCGCATGTACTCTTATGTGTTTGTGTATTTTATTTTTTTTGGGGGGGGAGGAACTGACTTTTCTAAAGCCATGGGGTTGTCATGTGGCCTAAAGCTCAGCTCTTAAGTGGAAATCACCATGAAATGTGACTGTGGGAACTGCAGTGTAAGCCTTACGTAAGTGCAACAGTGAACTGATCAGTCTGCCTTTTGTTTCCTGGCGAGTTTGAAAAGAACGCACTTCTCTGATTGTCTCCTTCTCCTCTAAATGTACTGTAACAGACTGGACCGAGTTTAGAAATTTCTCACCTGAGCCATGCTATTTATCTCTCTCTTTTTTTTTTTTTTTTTTTTTGTTTAAATAAATATTTTAATCATGCTTTTGTGTGTTGAGCCCTTTTTAAAATTATTTTTATTTTATTTGTTATTGGACTGCCGTGGACTTCACTGAACTAATTTAGACTGAAACACGATTGCAGAGGCTAAAGCAAATGTGTTCTTTAGTCTGTCTTAATGTGAAATAAATGGAAAGGTGAGAGAATATTTTTGAAAACCGGCAGAAGATGGGTTGTTCCGGACACTGTTTAGAAGAACAGTGTTCTTCAATTAAAATGTTGATTGGAGATGGGAAAACGTATAAAGACATGCATAAAATGATCTCCAGTGCTTTGAAATGGAAAGCAAGACCAGAGAGACGTGGAAGAAAACGAAAGACTGAGGCAAAACCAAGAAATGCAGAGGAACTGTGGAAGGCTGTCAAATCATCCTGGGCTGGAATACCTATTTACAGATGCCAGAAGTTGGTCGACTCCATGCAGCACAGATGTCAAACAGTTCTCAAAAACAGTGGTTATACAACTAAATATTAGTTGAGTGATTCACAGGAATGCTAAATCGTAACATTTTTTTCAGCTTATTGAGTAAATATTTGAGTTTGTACTGAAAAATACAAGCACTGATATTATTTGGAAAAGCCCAATATCATTTTTCCTTCATTTTCTGCAAAGTAGTTAAAATATTGATGCATGTTTCTTTATGTTTTGATGTAAAATATAATGTGCAGCGTTCCCAATGAATGGAAATAAAAATACAAGGATTTTGAGCTTTACTCACGTTTTAAAAAACATTGCTGTTATTTTGAACACAACTGTATTATACTGAAATTTCCGTTTTAATGCATGCTCTAAATAGCATTTCCTAATGCTACATTTATTCATTTTAGAATGTATTTCATGGCAATATTTATTTATGAATTTGTTACATTCTCTTAGTGAGTGAAATAGCTAAATCTGGCAATATTTTTTTTTTTTAAGGTAATAAAGAAATTGCGGCTATTTTGTCTCTTGACTCTTATTTCCAGTGTGTCATTTGTTTATTTCTGCATTTATTTCATTTATTAAATTAATACGACATAAAATTAAAATTCACGCTTTGCTGTTTTGTATATACGTTATTTTGCTGTCAACAAATGAATAATTTGCAGAAAAGAAATTACCAAAAAAGACCCCAAAACAAACTGTCATTAGTTTGACTGTAGCGCGGTCTAGTGGACGTCATGACGTAATGCAGCGCCAGTTGACGCTGTTGCTTGGCAACCAGTTCTCAACAGTCTGCTGCAGCTGCTAGCTGCGTTAGCACCAGTTATCTGTGGTTTACAGTCACTCTTTGTCGGTAGAAATGTCTCGGGCTCAGGCAGAAAACGTGATGAACATAATTCGTGAAGTAGTTCAGGAGTGTACGATGCAGGGACAGTCTGTGTCGGACACTCTGGTGGCTTTCATGGTAAGCAAAACCAACTAATCCGGTGCCTGTTAACCGGTTAGCTATCGAACAAATGCTAAAAAGATAAACAGTAATTCTAACACCGTATTCATGACCTCAAATTATTTTAATGAAAACATATGGCCATTTGTTAATATATAATATACAAAGTGACAGTCATATTAATTATTTATAATTCTCCTCAGGTGAAAGCTGTAGTGTTAGACCCAAGAAATGGCTTTAACGTTGATGGGACACTCACCAAACAAGATGTCAAAAAAATTGAAGAGGTGAGTTACTTCATTCATTTATTTAGTTTTATGTTTTTATTGGTATAACATAATATTTAAGACATAATCATGCTTTCTAAAATCACTATGTACATTTAATGTGGTCTCAGTTACACGACAGTCATACTTTGGCATGTCAAACCCAACCCTCCAGAATATTACCAGAAACAGCAAAAGTAAAATCTGCGTAAATATTCACATTTTTGACGTGATTTATGTTTATTCATTCTTTAACTTGTGCAGCGTACGTTTTATAGCCCAACATGAACATCTAAATCAATTAGATGTAGTTTTAAAACCTCCTCAGCAGTGTCAGGTATAACATTTGATGGAGAAATGTTGAATTGTTTAAGAGGTTAAATTCAAACTGATTTAGTCTACAAGAGCCACTTCATGGTGTACATGTGTAATTGTAGGGTGTTAACTCTCCCTTTCTTTAACATAATCAGTCTCTATTCTGCCTTTGTGACATGTCTTACAGCTGTGTCTGGATAAACTCATGGAAAAGTGCAGCCCGTCCCTTGACACAATCAAAATGCAAGTGTATTTTGATATGAATTATACCTCTCGACGTAAGTAATAAAAGCTGCATTCTAAAATGTCTGGGTAGAAAGTTGTACTTCTTGTCTTGTTTGTTTAGGCTTTAGGCTTTTGACCAGATACCTTGTGATCATGATCTGCACCTTCCGATTAAGTGTATTGAATTTGGTATTGTCTAGCAGATGTTAAACACTGGATGGAAAATGAGTTGAATTTGATTTAATTTAAACTGACGAGAGAGGTGTTGTTAGTACTGAACTGGTGCAACCAAATCTAGGATTTCTGATCCTGCAACATAAAAGGTAGACTGTGGAGACTGTGGAACACCAAATCATCAAAATTCAACTCATGCCTGTCTGTGCATCTTAGAAAAGTAAAATGAGGACCAACTCACAGAAAAACAGCTCCACAGTGCCCCCTCAAGGTCAAAAACTAAATGGTAAATGGTCTGCACTTGCACACCAAAATTGTTGGTACCCCTCAGTTAATGAAAGAAAAACCCACAAAGGTCACAGAAATAACTTGAATCTGACAAAAGTGATAATAAATAAAAATTCACTGAAAATTAACCAATGAAATCAGACATTGCTTTTGAACCATGGCTTAACAGAATTATTTTAACAAATAAACTCATGAAACAGGCCTGGACAAAAATGATGGTACCCCTAGAAAAGACTGAAAATAATGTGACCATAGGGACATGTTCAATCAAGGTGTGTCCTCGAATTAGCATCACAGGTGTGTACTAACTTGTAGTCACTCAGTTGACCTATTCATAGGGTACAATGAAATCTCAAGACTATCAAGGTATTCTAGAGAGAAATGTGCTGCCCAGTGTCAGAAAGCTTGGTCTCAGTCACAGGTCATGGGTCTTGCAACGGGATAATGAGCCAAAACACACAGCTAAAAACACCCAAGAATGGCTAAGAGGAAAACATTGGACTATTCTGAAGTGGCCTTCTATGAGCCCTGATCTAAATCCTGTTGAACATCTGTGGAAGGCGCTGAAACATGCTGTCTGGAGAAGGCACCCTTCAAACCTGAGACAACTGGAGCAGTCTGCTCATGAGGAGTGGGCCAAAATACCTGCTGAGAGGTACAGAAGTTTCATTGACAGTTATAGAAATCGTTTGATTGCAGTGATTGCCTCAAAAGGTTGTCTGATTTTCATTGGTTAATTTTCATAGAATTTTTATTTATTATAGCTTTTGTCAGATTCAAGTTATTTCTGTGACCATTGTGGGTTTTTCTTTCATTAACCAAGGTGTATCAACAATTTCGTCCACATGTGTATATAGTGCTTTTATCCAAAGCGCTTTACAATGTGTTTCTCATTCACCCATTCACACACACATTCATACACCAATGGTGACAGAGCTGCCATGCAAGGTGCTGCCTGCTATTGGGAGCACCTTCGTGTTCAGTGTCTTGCCCAAGGATGCTTTGACTGTGGAGGGGCAGGGGAATCGAACCGCCAACCTTGCCATTGGAGGACAACTCACTCTCCTACCTGAACCACAGTCGCCCAGCACAGAAAACCTTTAAACCTCATGCTATTATTTTATTCCAGCCTAAATGATCAAACACTGAGCTTGTAAAAACAAGTATTTTTTATTAATGTAGAAGCATCACAAAGACTTTTTGAATCTGTCACATATGTCCTTTTTTTTTTTGCTAATTTCAGATTAGCTCTGTTTACTTGCCAAAATGAGTTAACCATGGACAGACTGTACAAAACTCTGCCACAAGGGTTTTACCAACAAAGGGATGTATATTAGACATGTTTTTGCCTTTTGGCTTGCTGTTAAAGTACTGGATTGTTACGAAAAAAAATGTGGAAGAATAGTTCTGTTATATTGTAACTGTCATGATCATTTCCTGTGTGTTTGTGCAGGGGAGTTTCTTGAGCAAATCCAACGGGTGATGGAATCCAGACTGACTTCGATGAGCAGAGAGATCACCGACAGCAGGGTGAAAACCAGGGAGGAGTTAGACACTCTGTACCGTAAAATCGTCACCTATATTCTGCTGCGCTCCGCCATAGGCGCCCCTACAGACACCAAAACTCTGCGAGAGGCTACAGGTCTTTCACTCTTTTTGACATCTTATAGTTGTACTGATAGTCCAGTGAATGCATTATACTGTAAGGCTGACATTGTGGGCTGCAAGGTGGCGCAGTTGGTAGCACTGTTGCCTCGCAGCAAGAAGGTTGCCGGTTCGCGTCCCGGTGGGGGCACCGGAATCTTTCTGCGTGGAAGTTTGCATGTTCTCCCCGTGCAGCGTGGGTTAATTGGTGGTTCTAAATTGTCCGTAGGTGTGAATGTGAGTGTGCTTGGTTGTCTGTCTCTAAGTGTGGCCCTGTGATAGACTGGTGACCTGTCCAGGGTGTCCCCTGCCTTCGCCCTAAGTCGGCTGGGATAGGCTCCAGCCCCCCCGCCACCCTAGTGAGGATTAAGCGGTGTATAGAAATGGATGGGCTGACATTGTTACAATTAAGGAGGTGATAATGGTTATGTGTGTACTGTTTCTTACTCTTGATTTCTCTTGTTATTCTCTTGTCTCAGCTGCTCTACAGAGCATTTTCCCTCAGACTGAACTGGGTACCTTCATGGTGCTCCTAAAGAAAGACAAGGAGCAGCAGCTTGTAGAGCTCACCATGCTTGTCACTGGGATCCTGCTCTTCAACAAAGCCAGCAAGAAAGGAGAGGAGGAGGTCAACATCCATGAACTAAGTACAGTCATTTTTAAAAATCTTTAAACTGAGCAGGTGTATGTTGATCTGTCAGGTTGGCAGTATTCAATGAACAGTTTACCTTAGATGATTTGCACAACAGATTAAGCACAGTGTTTTGTAATTACTATGTTGTCACATGCTGATACTTTTAAAAAAATATTTAGCAAGATAAACTTGAAAACATCGTCATTGTATCTGTCTTATCAGAGTAAAGACCTTGTTGGAAAGGATTTATTTGTCAAAGGGAAGTTGGATGACTTTTGTGTTGCTTGTGCTGGTCATGTCATTATACACTATGTAACAATTAGTTGATTATTGATTGGCAGAAAAATAATCAACAACAGTGGTGATAAATGATAAATATTTCATTTTTGTAGCAACACCGGTAAAAAAATGCTGAACATTTCCAACTTCTCAAAGAGGCTTTGTTGCTTTTCTTTTGCATACGTCACAGTAAATTGAATATCTGTGTTATTTAAACTGTGGCTGGCAGCTGCTGCAGACTACATTATTCTGCCTCACTAATGATTAGAATTTGTTGTTTCTTTTTACATTCTCTCTGCAGTGCCCACAGTTGTCAATGAAGCTCTTCCTGTCACCAGTAAAAGCATAGAACATGAGCTGCATGTGACACAGAGTCTGGCGTGGAAGTATACAGTTCTGCTGGAGAAGCTAACAGACCCTGACATTCACCCCAAACAGTGTGACGTGCCCATTGTCCTGCTTAAACAGGCTCTCTACAACGTCAGGCAGCATGAAGTTTTCCTCAAAATGTTACTGGTGAGGTAGTAATTGTGAAAATGTGGTTATTTCATGTAGCCTACATCTATACTATATTTCAAAGGCAATCATGATTTTATTTATATTAGGTGTTTGAAAAACAAGTAAGAAAGTTCTTTACCAAAACATATATAACAGAGAGAAACCCAACAATTCCCTATTGTGCAAGCACTTAGCGACAGTAGGGAGGGAAAAACTCCCATTAAACAGGAAGACTCGGAGGGCAGCCAGGAGAGACAGAAGATGAGCGCTGAAAAACAACAAATAATAAAAACTGAGCAGGAAATATTGGCTTATTCAGTAGAAAAAAGTTGGGTCATGTAACTGTGAGAAGGAGCATGCGAGTGGAAAGCAATCAAATTCCTAAAATCACTTATGAAACGAATCAGAAGCTTCTTTAAAGAAGCTAAACCAAGAGTGATGGCATCTTGCCTCTTGGTTCTCTTCAATGGCCTGGAAGCTGAGTTCTGTACAATTTGAAACTGATCAAATTTTTTTGGGGTGAAGACAAGTATAAAGGCTGTTAAGAAGAGTAAAAATGATAAAATAGCCCCTGTGTCTTTAAAAGCAAGGAAGGCTAGTATTTTTCTGTTTTTTTCCTTTTACCACCAGACTGATGCAGGTTCATGTAGCAAGCACATTGACATCCTGCAGACTGAGCTCTCATCACAGATGAAGCAGCTGAAAGACACTGTGCAGTCAAAGACGGCGGTACCAACTGCAAGAGTTTTTGTAAGTGTGTTGATTGCTGATCCCTTATGCTGCTTCTGCTTTTATGTTTAGTTATATTACGTCTGAAGGAATAACTGTTGAGTGCCTTTCTATGTCAGCCTTATGTATGTCTCTTACGTACAGGGTTGAAGTCAGGACATTATTAGCTTAGCTTAGCATAAAAGGTGAAACAGATATCAATACCATGCATCTTGTATTATCTACCTGCAAACAGAAGTGTGAAACTTAGAAATATTTGGTTGAAAGGAGTTTGACAGAATTGTATATTGGAGCTATGTCTTGGCAAACAACAGCCCAGATAAGCGACAGATTGTATGTAGCATTGCAGTCTTGCTGTCATAGTGAGGTTTCCACATTTTGTTTCATCATGTCTGTACAGTGACAAAAACCAAAGACTGTGCTAAAGCCAGACGCTCCACAGATATTCTCAGCAGATGGATAAATTGTTGTTCCTGTAGAAATAGCTCCAGTATGTAACACGCCCTAAGATTAGTTTCTATACTAATTAAACTAATGAAATACAAAGAGTTAGCTACTCAGCTTCCAAGGTGTTGGCAACTGTATAGATTCCCCTTCAGTCTTTATGCTAAGTGAAAATAACCTTTACCACCTCTGCTCTTAACACACTGACATGACCAATATCAAATGTCTCAGCTTTGGTTTTGTATTATCTTCAGCCACTATTCAAGGTCCTGTCAAAGCTGTGGTCTGGACTTCAGGATGAGGCTGAGCTTCTGAATATTATCAGTAACATCGCATTAAATCTTCAGCCCTTCCTCGCCTCTCAGGCCAAGATTTTCTCTGAAGCTTATCTGGACAGCCTGCTGGAGGCATCAGAGGTGAAGACAGATGAGCAGAGACTGACTGATTCCTCAGGTATGGCTGACATCAACCACAGATACTAGCAGTCAGTTCTTAAAGAAAGGAATTCCATGTTCCAGAAGTCTTACAAAGCCGAACTCCAGAGTGAAAACAAATCCAAGTTTATCTGTGTGCCAATCTTAAATGCAGTTCTTGATTCTGCCTTCCAGATGAGCGGATTGATCCAGATCAGATGAAACCACAAGAATGGCTCCTGCCTGAAACAACAACCAGTTTTGATGAGCTGCCGTTGCAGTATAATGGATTCTGTGGCTACACACTTGTGAACAGAGATGGGCTTTTACTTCCAGGTACTGTTCTCATAATACTCTAATCAATGCAACATCAGGAATGGCCTTTTGATGTTTCGTCTTTGTCAAATTGGAGCATGTGGGTAAAGGCTTCAGCTTTATTTAAGTAAAGTAAGTCAGATGGAATTCCTAATATGAAAAGCTGACAGCCTCCGAGGTGACCAGACCCTTCTTCTGGCTACATCTCACATTTCCTTCCTTATCTGTATCTGTCTATCTCTTTTTTTGCTGCTTATCTGGCCCATGATGCTGTGGCAGTGGCCTAATTAAGCCATCTTCTCAATCTACCCCAGTGTTTACTTCAGATTAGATGTATTTTACAAGTGTCCAATTAGAGCAAAGAGAGGCATTTAGAAAGCCCATTTATCCGATGCTCAAACCACCTCAAGTGGCTTTTTCATGCTAAGGTGATCTAATTATTTTAGTTATTACCCAAAACTCCACAGATGTGTTGAAATGTATAAAGATTCATCCTCAGGTCTCTCTTCAATTTCACAGTGAGGCGACTGCAGAAGCGACATTGTACAAAGACAAGTTCAAGCTTTCTCATCTCTGCACTTCTGGTCAATGGCTTGCATGTACATTGACTTGCCTGTTTTGCTAATTACAAACAATTCTGCTACTGGATGTGTGTGTTGTTGAGGGATGTGCTACAACTAATCTGATCCACAGTGGCTCCACCTCACAACTTGTAGGAATTAAAGCATCTGATGCTAACTATCAGCTAATGGACCAACCGTGTGTTAGGCAGAAGTGGTTATAATGTTTGAGCTTATCAGTATTTTATATTATGTTTAAGTGAATGCAATATGATGAGCATTTGTAATCTAATGTGCATATTTTGTAGTATTTAACAGTATTTGTCTTTTGCAGGTAACCCACACATCGGAGTGTTGAAACACAAGGAGAAGCTCTATGTTTTTAGCTCTAAAGAAGCCGCCTTGAAATTTGCCTCCAGTCCAGATGACTTTATTGAGGAGGTGGCAGAAAAAGCCAAATGCTTTTCTGAACTCATTCAATTCTTCAAACTCCACCAGCAGTTTTCCTGTGTCAGTCCATACTCTGAGGTCAGCTCAGTACTCTCAAAGCAAGACTCAGCTTTTCCACACAAGCTACATTTCAGAATATATTTTATTAAATAAACAAGAAGATTTGAAACATTCTTACTTTGGAACAATCTGGGGGTAGTTTTAGAAATGCATCTGTGCTACAGAATAATGCATGCCACTAACTCCCTCAGAAACTATACCACACTGACATTTCTGGGAGTTTCACAGTAAATGTAGTTTTTGACTTGTTTTACAGTTGCAGCCAGGAGAAAGTTTGCTGGTGAAACCCATCACCAAGTGTGAGAGCGGCACACAGACTGACATCCACCCAGTGGAGACAAACATCGTCAAGTCATATGAGTGGAATGAGTGGGAGCTTCGACGAAAAGCTCTCAAGCTGGTGAGCCATATGAACTTACAATTCCTCTCCACACCAGTGCAACACTGCAACACCTAGACTATGTTTTGACAGCTTCACCAGAAGAAAACTTTCAAAAAGTCAGTGAGAAACACCTGCAAAACTGGGAGGTCAAAATGGAATTAGGCTCTATGGATAAGAGACACTTTTGAATTTTGAAAAACAAAAAGCTTCTTGTCTTTATCGTCAGTGATCTTTTTTACTTCCATTTAGTCCAAACTAAATTACAGAGTAAATAAGAGTATACAGTATAACAACAAATAAGTGATGCTGATCTTATTGTAGCTGCTGTAAATATTCTCAAACACAGCTCAAAATTTGACGCAACAGCAATGAAGCACGGCAATACTTCTGTTTTAGTCTTTGCAATACTAGGCGGCCTCTTCAGTTCAATAGATGTTTAATAGTATACAGTCAGGTCCCACTATGGGGACCACTGGGAGGAAGGAGTTTAATGGCGCACTTAATTTATCAACTTATTTTAATTATGATTAGCTTTGCTTTGTGTTCCATAAACCTAGGCTGATCTTCGGACCAAAGTGACACACTCGATGCAGACTGATCTGAGCCACATGAGACGGGAAAACACCACTCAGACATGGCTGCCCAAAGACGCTGCCTGTCAAAGCAAGAGAGACGGTGAGAGCAACGTGCCCAAACCTCAGATCTACCTGGCAGGTCTGAGGGGACAACGGAACGCACAAGTGGTCAAAACAAACCTGACCAGATCTGTGGATGAATAAGAAAGGTGTGCTGTAACATTTGACACAATAAAAGTTATTCTAAGCATGTTACTGTTTCTCATCATTTTGTTATGTGTAACTTGATAAAGATCAGAGGAGCATGCAAACTACATGTGAGTCATACCATAGAATTGGTTTTGATTTGATCAAAGTAATACCAGGATTAGCAATATAAACACAGATGTCAACATTTTATCATTAAAAGCAGTGATTCAATTTTACCAAAAACATTCATTCTTCTTAAAATATCATTTTTGAATAGCACAACACACTCTTAGTGGGTGTTCAGTGCTGTACTTCAAGGCTGAAGTTGGTTGCTGAAGGGTATAGCTAGCTGCCCAACAGCCATGGAGTGTTTTGCAATTTGATGAGAATGAAAGCTGTATATTTAATTGCACTGTAGATGCCTAACTAGGGACAAGAGTTGAATATTAACTAGTTATAAACTCTGTCAGGTCAGTTTCATGCTCTGCATTGAAACTGTTAAACCTTTTTCTTTAATGACCACAACATAAGAGCTGCTGGACTCCGCAAGAACAACAGAAGACTTGATACTTTGTGCTTTCTCAGGTTGAGTAGTTCTTATAACCAAGAAATTACAGGTTATCAAATGTAAAGTGGCATCTGTCAGCAATATTGTTCCAACAGCATGCTGTGTTGTGTGTGAGGACTATTTTGAAATCAGACTGCTCCTATTTTAGCCCTTGTATTGGAAGGGTGAGGGTGTGGGGAGTGACTGTAACGTGATAGTGAGACAGCAGGGAGCTTGGAGCCACACTGAACAAGATGTCTGAGGGAGCAGAGAGTCTCAAACAGAGACTCTGTCGGTCTGTAGACGAAGCCGAAGCGAAGCTGCACAGCCTCAGTCGGGATATCTGGAGCTGTCCGGAGCTGGCTTACCAGGAGAACAAGGCTCACGACAGACTGGTGGCGTTTTTCAGCCAGGAGGAAGGCTGGAAGGTGGACGCTCACTTCAAGCTGCCCACTGCGTTCCGAGCATGTTGGTTGGCGGGAGGCAGCGAGCAGGAAGACGTGGTCACTGTGGGCTTCCTGTGTGAGTACGACGCCCTGCCTGCTATTGGACACGCATGTGGACACAACCTGATAGCTGAGGTTGGAGCTGCTGCGGCTCTGGGGCTCAAAGCTGTGCTGGAAAACACACACAAGCTGCCTGTCCGGGTGCAGGTAGGACAACCAGAGGAGTTCATGCCAAGTTTGGAAGAAATCTATTAAGTCATATAGTTTAGTTTGAATGAATTTAACAATAACCACCTGAAGTGTGAATCTGAGCTAAAATTCAGAATGACACTTGGTTGAAATCTGTTTGACTGTGATTTCTGAAGTACATTTGCTGGATTTATCTCCATAGGTGATGGTGTTGGGGACTCCAGCTGAAGAGGATGGTGGAGGTAAAATCGATATGTTAGGAAAGGGAGCATTTGAAGGTCTGGATGTAGTATTCATGGCTCATCCATCAAAGGAGGATGCCACCTACCTGCCATGTGTGGCTGAGCATGAGTATGCTTTATTACAGTGCAAACGTCCTGTTAAATCCGTCCTGCTTGTCTCTTTTCTGTGTGTGCTGTTTACTTGGAAACACAGTGTTCTTTACTGGAAGTCTGGAGATGTGATACATGTTGTGGTTTACGTTGCTGCTTCTTATTTGTGTTGTGTTTCCAGTGTAACTATAAAGTATCACGGTAAGGCGTCTCATGCCTCAGCCTACCCCTGGGAGGGAATCAATGCGTTGGATGCAGCGGTGCTCTGCTACAACAACCTGTCTGCACTCAGACAGCAGATGAAGCCAGACTGGAGAGTTCATGGTGAGCAGCTGATGCTCCTCCACACTCATGTGTCGCTCTAGGACTTTTACTGAATCGTGATTCATTTACATTGTACTGTGCAGGAATCATAAAGCACGGAGGAGTGAAACCAAACATCATCCCTGCCTACACGGAACTGGAGTACTATCTGAGAACCCCGTCAAGAGCTGAGCTTCCTGTCCTGAAGGACAAAGCTCAGAAGTGTTTCAGATCAGCTGCTCTGGCCACTGGCTGTGAGGTGAGAATTACAACAAGGAAGGAGCTTTTTGGACTCTGGGTCATGGACTGTCTTATGATGGCATCTCCCTGTTATTCAAAACAGCTCAAAACCCCTTAATAATGCACAGCTTTCAACCTTTATACAATTTAAATGTGTGAGTTTCACAAACATTCACTCCCTGTACAGTTGTCATGGAGAGTGAAATTATCCAGAGACCAAAATTGTTTTTTTTTTTTTGTACCAGACTGGAAACATGTTTATTTCTGCTGTAAAGTTGGCATTTTAACATGAAGGTTTATGGAGACTGACTCACTTTTTATTTTCAGACCCTGAGGTTGCAGCTTGGTTGAAATGTACTTAAACCTTAAACTGCAGCTAAGCTAATAAAAGAGAAGCCACCTCATGGCTTTTAAATGGCCACATACGTACAAATAATATCATTGCTTTTTGTCTTAGTTTGTAAAGATTGGGGGGGACAAAGCATCAGGTTTAAAAAAACAAAAAACAAAAACAATCTTCTCACTTTCAGGTTGAAGTAGAATTTGCAAGAAATAAATTTGACAACATGCTGCGCAATGTTACATTGGAGGAGCTGTACGAGAGGAATGGCAAAGCTCTGGGGATGGACTTTACCACAGATGAAGATGTTCTCAAAAATGAATCTGGTATGTGTGAATCCTGCGTGTCTGACAACGAACACTTTTACATCAGGGTCTTGTACTGACATTTGTGGGTTTTTTCTTCCTCTATACTTCTCTCTTCCTTTTTTTTGATCTTCAGGCTCTACAGACTTTGGCAATGTGTCATTTGTAGTTCCTGGCATCCATCCATACTTCTTCATTGGTTCTAATGCTCTGAACCACACAGAGGAATACACTGTTGCTGCTGGTATGCAACCCCTGCTATCCAAAATTGAGGCTGATGATGTGTTATTCAGTTTCTAGTTAAATCTTGAGCTGACAGAACACCTCAAAGTTGATATCTGACCATTTCAGACTCTAACAGTGTGTTTGTTGCAGGTGATGACAAAGCTCAGTTCTTCACCCTGAGGACAGCGAAGGCTCTGGCCATGACGGCTCTGGATGTGCTCCTGCATCCGGAGCTGCTGCAAAAGGTGAAGCAGGAGTTCGCTGAGGCAAAACTGAAGGATGAACAGAACGCAGAGCAGTTTGCAAAACACTGTTAATGCAGGTGGAGGAGCTGCTGCTCCACTGACTGACAGACTAATGCAGGTTCTCTGCAGTCAAGAACCCTGTAAAAAAGAATCTGCTGCCTCCAAATCTTAGGTGATATTTTTTTAATTCATCATCTGTACACCAAGCGCATCAGTCTCTCTTTACTATCCCAGACACTAAGGGAAACTTGTGATTCCTATAAACTATGGACTTCAGCCCAAAAATACATTAAAATTATTATTATTATTTTTTTTTAAGCAAATGCATTGAAGAGTAATGTTGACAAACTGCTTTCAGTAACTCAGAACAAAAAACAAAAATTGAAAAGCTGAAAATAAAAAACATTTTGTTTATGTAGTTTTTTTACAAAATGTGTAGTATTGTTTGCCTGTCCGATTCACCAGTGCTGACTTCTAACCACATATTCTTATGTGTTGGGATCTCAAAGAAGCATTAAACTAGCTTGTTATTATAAATGAGAGAGCAGTTAAGTTGAAATAATAACACAGTTTGTGGGCAATACTAGTATGTCCTTCCTTACATTCCTTCGTACATTAAATGTTGCATTTTTTTTTCTGTCATGCCTCAGTTTAGATTTCTTACACAATAAATTAATTAATACACAACAAAGGGTATAAAATTAGGACCTTACAAAATATTTGTTACACAGTTTACATACAAGCATTCAAACTTAACGCCGTTTTCTTTGCACTCTTTGTTTCTCTAGTTATTGCACTAAAAACTGTGATTTAAAATAATGCAATTCGTAACTTGCAAATTCTGCAATTTAGAACCTATATTATGAAGCGTGTCGTACCCCAGGTCTAAACTGCTGTTTTAGTCATTTTATGATTTCATGCTGTGCTTCTTGCTAGACAGTTTTGATAATATCTTATATAGTAATACTCAACACATTTTAACTTTGTGAATACTGAACTGAAGCTTGCCTTTACCAAAAATGTCTTGCATATCAAATCGCATTATCTGTCAGAAAAATTGTAATTTCCTATCTTCATTAAATTGCTCAGCCCTAGAATAATAAGACACTTGTGGTCTTCCATATATGTAATTTCACAGCTGCCATGTATAGGCCTGTGACAATTATTTATTAGGCTAAATTAAAAACAAAAAAGGGCCATAAAACTAAGGCTTTACAAAATATATGTTACACAGTTTAGCTGAAAGAGTCTAATCTTTCAGCCTTTTCTTCACACTTGTGGTCCTCCATATTCTGTAACTTTACAGCTGCTATGTACGGTATATTATGCAGTGAGTCTTACTCAGGGTTTAAACTGTTATGATGATGGTTTCACAAATTTATGCCATCCTCCTTGTTTGATAGTGTTTATGGTATCTAATGCAGTAATGCTTCATCGCACGTTTTAAATCTGTTTGAACTCAACTGAAACTTGACTTGTATAACAAATTAGAAAAATCTCAAATAGACATTTTCCTTAAATTGCTCAGCCATAGCATATTAAGACAGTAAAGTGTCATATTAAGCAATTAAATGTTTTATTTTTAGATTGTTTATAGGCCTATGACCATGGCTTAAAAAAAAAGGTAAAATTTCGGCAGAAAACTATGGCTTTAAAAAATATTTGTTACACAGTTTAACACAGTTTACTGCTTTTTTCTTTGTCAGTGTTATGTTATTGCAAGTACAACAATTTCCCTGAGGTACCCTACCAAAGGGATCAATAAAGTTACATCTAATCTAATCTAATCTAATCCAATCCAATCCAATCTAATCTGATCTAAAACTCTTCAAACTTCCAGCCTTTTCTTTATTGTTTATATACAGTCGTCCTCAAATTTATTCGTACCCTCCCATTAAAGAAGGAAAAAAACAGCTGTCACTGAAATAAGTTGAAATTGACAAAAGTAATAAAAAATAAAGATTTAATGAAAATCATGACATTGTTTTCCAATTGTGGTTCAACAGAAATATATATTTAAAAAACAAACAAAAAAAACAAGCAAACAAGCACGATGGGACCCGTAAACCAATATTTTGTTGAACAACCCTTTGAGCCAATCACTGCAATCAAGTGTTTTCTGTAACTCTCAGACTTCTGCACCTGTTGAAAGGTATTTTGATTTTGGCCCACTGCTCATCAGCAAAGTGCTCTAATTTGTCTGGGACAGTATTGTTTGTTTGTTTTTTATTTATTCCTTTCAACCACAATTCAAAAAGCAAAGTCTTATTTCACTAAATTATAATTTAGCAATTTAAAAAAAAATATTATTTTCTTTTTTCAGTTTCTAGATATTTGAATGACTATTAAATTATGCCTTTTCTTTAATGGAAGGGTATCAATAAATTTGAGGACGACCGTAGATATTGCTTTCTGCTTTTGTAGTAAATAATTTCATGACACTTGTGGTCTTCCACATTCTGTAATTTTACAGCTTCAGTGAATATTATTTGTGCACAGAAGTAGTTTAATAAAGTTTCTGAAAAAAAAAAAAAAAAAAAATTATTTGTGCACAGAAGTAGTTTAATAAAGTTTCTGAAAAAAAAAAAAAAAGTTCAGTCACGTGATACAGCAGCGACTCTGAGCTGGAGTATTTCCATAACAGACTGAGTAACATTTAAACACAACAGTCTGCAGTGAGAGAGAAACATGTCTGAGGGAGCAGAGAGTCTCAAACAGAGACTCTGTCGGTCTGTAGACGAAGCCGAAGCGAAGCTGCACAGCCTCAGTCGGGACATCTGGAGCTGTCCGGAGCTGGCTTACCAGGAGAACAAGGCTCACGACAGACTGGTGGCGTTTTTCAGCCAGGAGGAAGGCTGGAAGGTGGACGCTCACTTCAAGCTGCCCACTGCGTTCCGAGCACGTTGGTTGGCCGGAGGCAGCGAGCACGAAGACGTGGTCACTGTGGGCTTCCTGTGTGAGTACGACGCCCTGCCTGCCATTGGACACGCATGTGGACACAACCTGATAGCTGAGGTTGGAGCTGCTGCGGCTCTGGGGCTCAAAGCTGTGCTGGAAAACACACACAAGCTGCCTGTCCGGGTGCAGGTACGCACCTGAGCACCGAACTACACTCACAGCATCACATTCAGGAGGGTGAACCAGGAGAAGATGCACATAAATCCTGTCCTGACCACTAGATATAATCTAAATATATGATTTTAGTCAGTTTCCATTTCAGATGTTTTCTTGGATGACAGTGGCCGTGCAAATGTTTAAAAATTGAAATCATTTTTCTGGTGGAAAGATTTTTTTTTTTAAATGTAGTTTTGAGGTTATGTTAATCACTGATGATGATCATACATATACAAACCATCTTTTTACAGTTTATGTGTGAATTATATGAACCCATTAGTTTGAACAAAAAAAATAACAGCCACTTTTGTTACACTATATGAAAAAGTAGGACTTTAAAGGGGACACACTCCCTGATTCAATTTTATTTATATACACTACTCACAATAAGTTAGGGATATTGTTATTTACATGAGTGCTTTTCCTATTTGGTCTGAATTTTAATGTAATAAGTCAAAGTTCCCTTTGATATTACTAATAATGAATGAGAAGAAACACCATTTTCATTAGTTTAATATTTATTACCCCCAAAATTTAAGCAATAACAAGGATAGCCCCAAATAACAAAAATTGACAATGTCAGTAGCAGGTGTTTCCACCATTTGCCACAATGACAGCTTGACAACGACGTCTCATGCTCCTCACTAGCCTCATGATGTTGTTCTGAGGCAATGCGTTCCACTCTTCCACAATTGCTACACGCAGTTCTGCCAGGTTACGTGGAGATGGAGTACGGTCATCCAGTCTCTGCTTCAGCTGGTCCCAGACGTGCTCTATGGGGTTCAGGTCAGGGGACATTGCTGGCCATACCATATGAGGCACTCCGACTTCCTGAAGTCGAATTGTGACAATTCTGGCACGACATGGTGGAGCATTGTCATCCATGAACAGAAAGTTGGGAGTGTGCTGGCGGAATTGGGGGATGATGATGGGTTCTATCATGTCTCTGAGGTAGGAACGAGCAGTGACTGAGCCATCTACAAAAACCAAATCTGTTTTGCGCTGGCTGGTGATGCCTGCCCAGACTGTTGCAC